ATTAAGTAATATTTAATTAATCATCCAATTGATTTTAATAATAATAAATCAAAAATATTGTGTGATAACTCATCTTTTTCATAGTTACATAAAAACTGATAAAATTGAGAAAACAAAGGGAATAAAATAATTGTCATTTGTTCGTGGCGTATCAAAATTGACTCTAGATATATTCGTCCCATTTGTAAGCTTGTAGGTAAGGGTTTGTACCATATATGAATTATATCCTGCAGGTTTATGTCATGTTTAGTTAGGATTGTGTCAAGCTATTTATTGAAGGATTTGACAAGTTCATTCGTTTATCAACCGAGTCTATTTAGATTTAAACCAAACTCACTAATTTCACTTCAATTATTGAGTTTGCATATCATATCTAAAATTGACTAATTTTATTATAATTGGGGGTCCTAAATATTTTTTAAGCGATTCTAATATTTTTTTGGTTAAGGGTTCTAATTATTTGTATTTATTCACTAGTTCTTGGAGACGACTTTAAGGGCTTATTTGAATGAACTTTAGAGAAGGGTTTGGATTGACTTTTTGAAACCCTTTCAAACTCAAACTTTTTTTTACAAAGATGATATTCAATGTTCAATTTGGTCTATACCCATGTTTAGTATGCAACATATATACATGTAGGATCCATAAATATATCATAATTATTAACAATTATTTATTTTTTAAATGATTATTTTACCCTTAATTAATCTAATTCATACTCATGTTAAAGGTTCAATTATCTTTTACATCCTTAACACCTTAACTCATCTTCCCAAATTTACCTACTCTTTAGATTTGATGAAACCCATGATTATGATTTTAATCTTTTGGTTAGCTATGGATCAGGTTTGAAAACCTTAGATTAAATTTTCAATTCTAAGATTTGAGAGTATTTTAAATTATTTTTTTTTAAATCCATCTTTTCAAATCTCTCATACTCCCTTATTAAACAGTTCCTAATGGTCTATGCCTAGGGCCAACTCTGAACCATATCAACGAGTCGGCAAATCATTTTTTTTTTCTCGTGTTCTGTTTCTGGACTTGCATTGTTCGACCAACTTGGCTCACGTGTTTCTCACCCCAAACATAGGACAAACAAGATCAATTATGTTCAAACCTCAAAACCTACGAAAATGACAGAGTTAGTGATTACCCACAGTTTTTAAGATTTCCTCAATTCATAAACACGACGTTACGTATACAATATAGATTTGATTAGACAGATTGAATTTTGTTTTTCTTTTTTTTTTGTTATAGGGTGTCTAGGTTTGTGCCTACTACTCATTCGAGTTCAATGACTGACCATCATGACTTGAACTGATCTAGAGCATGTTTCTAAAAGAACAAAGATGACTAGTCTTTAGGGAGAATGAAAAGAGATTGAACCTATGACATCTAAATTATCAAATGACAGACCCAATTACTCGACCACCATAAGAATTGATTGAAATTTGTTGATGCTTGTGGACAACCTTGAAAATAATGTGATAAACCCAGTTGCTGTTTTACATGAGTGTCCCCTCCTGTAAATTTATTTGATCATTATTTATACTCTTTATGTTTTTTTGGATGTTTTTCTAATCTGTATAGGAAACTCACCAAGACCGAGCATCTTCTACAAATTTTATATTTTTATCAGGGATCTACTTGTCCCTTGTTTTGCATAGGTCTCTTTTGGTATTGGACAGTAAAATCCATGCTCTCAGTAATGTTGAAACTAAGCTTATGATCATTTATAGTATATTATCTATGGAGAGAGAGGAGGGCCTTTGGTTTAGACCCGTTTAAAACGAAAAGAGTCATGACAGTTGTATGCACAATGATTTGATTTTGGTGCATACAAGGAGGAAGCCCTCAGACTGTTTGCCAATCAATTCAAAGACACCATTATTGTACAACAAACCATCAACCAGGTTATCAGAGAGCGGCTAGTGACCGTAAGGTTCAAGAACTCATGCCAGAATTGCAGCCTAGTGCAACTTAATTTGACAGCTTCTACACAGCTGAGAATGATATGAAATGGCATGTGCATGGCCTTAACCTTTCATATTGGTGTTGTTTCTTTTTTGTTACCACCAACTCTAGTGGCACGAGATTCTATTGAAAGTGCTTGCTCATGGCTTGCACTTTACTCAATTTGACTAGTGTACCAACCAAAAAAAAATCGATATCATATCTCTAAAATTTATTATTTTAAATTTTTTTTTTAACTTTTGTCTGTCATTTTGTTTCTTAAAAAAAATAATCAAATATTATGATATTACATTATCGTTAACTTGCGGTATCACCAACTTATTATAAACAAATAAATAGAAGTATCCACTTAATCCTATTTAATAGGTACTAGCATTATCCTGCAAAGAATCATTTGAAAGAATTATGGGTAATTTATAATTTATAACCTTCAAGTATGGATTAAGGTTTAATTTGGTTCATGAAGTTCCAGTTAAAAAAATCGAAATACTTACAAATTTCAATTGAGTTCCAAATCAACCCTTCCATCTAAATCGGCTGGATCAAGTGACTAACACTTTACTTATTTAGAGGGGTATGTTCATCTTACAAAAATATGCCATCCAACATAATGGTTATTAGCTCCAAAAAAATTAAATACGTGCATTAAAATATGAAGGGTTTTTCTTTAAATTAGACCAGTCAAGAGACTCGAGACCCACTCCGATCCATGACCGGAGTAGTAATTTTGAAGAAAAAAAAAAACAACATTGACACAAAAAAGGACCAAAAGCTACCAAGATATTAAATAAGAGTTATAAACCTTGATTGAGACTATGTTTTTTTGATAGAACCACCATATGATATGTTGGCCATGTGGTTCTATTTTTTCAAATTAAGTTAATAGATTTTTGATTTATCAGCCTAGAATTTAGATATTTATGGGGTGTTAAATTTAGAAATTCATGGGTGGGGAACAGGATTTCAAGGAGTAATTAAGTCTTTTAGTTATGTTACATAGTATCTTTAGACACAAGTCTATTGCTAATAGTTTAATGTCTTGTAGGTGTTAAGGGAGTACAAGTTGTCTGGTATCTTTTAATTAAGTTTCAATCCAGTCATTTTTTTCGAAAATCTATTAACTACATCTGAAAAAATAGAACTACATGCCCAAGATTAAGATGGTAATTTATAAATTCTAGGTAGATTTCAATTCTAGAAATTCTAGGCAGATACCTCATGAATGTTAGACAAATTTGAGATGGTTGGTGACAAAAGAATTATACCAACCTTGTCCTTGCTAAATCAGTCATATTTTTCCTTCTTTTTCAATAGCTAGAGTATCTGAACTAACCTATGCGTATTTTGATTAATCTTTTTTCTGATGCGATCAAAGATAGACCATTCATACCATGATTAAAGTATTTACGGGGATAAACCTTTCATAGTCTGACTTTAAAAAATTATAAAAATTAAAACTAATGACGTTTGGATTTATAATTCGTCTATGTTACTATTTCAGAAATCCCTTTAAGTTAAAAGCCATACTTTTCCACCCACGTGAAAGAATTGAAACCCACATATGGAGAGAAAGAGCCATACTTTTCCATATAAAGCCGTGGCCTCAACGTCGAAGAAATTGCTAACCTTGTTCCTGTTGGAGTAAAATATAAAGTTATAAAATTTCGGATTGATTTTCATCTCCCTCATATCCTTTACATGTTTTACTAATTTGCCCAACAAATATTCCTCTTGTCCATCTTCTCATTCTCAGCTATATAAAGCCACCGCCACTGTCACTCACTACACTCTATACGACCATCCGAGCTCAACCTAGATTGATACCCGTTAAAACTAGAGTATGTGTATAATGCACACAAAAATACATGTGTTTTAAATGTTACTCTTACCAACCTAGCTAGATAGAGACGTATGGGTTGTGGCAATCGTGACGATAAAATTAATTCCAAACACCAAAGAAGCCCGAAGTACTCCCTTCAACATACAAGGCATTACAAACTATGTTTGCCTCCAAATTTTAAATTACCGCACGAATGTTGCATATAGTTAAAAAGATGGGTGACAAGCTCATATCAAAATTGCTTCGAAAAATGGATCAAATATTGTGATATTATTATTATCCTTGACTTGTGGTATCACGAACTTATTATAGACAAATAAATAGAAGTAGTGACTTCCACTTAATCCAATGTAGTAGATATGGGATATTAATAATGTTCACCAGTTTTAGTAATTTGCTTAAGTAGCGATTTATGCTTAATCCAGTGTAGCACTTAATCCAATGTGGGCCCCAAAGACTACTTTTACCCAATCCCCCACCTAATCCCTACTAACCCTGTCAAACAAACACCCCCTAAGTGTTTGGAGATGTTGGAATAATAAGGTAAGCTAGTCTATGGACCGAATTTTAACTTGAATCCGAATTCGTTTAAGTGGTTATAGATCACATTTTCCATCCATCAATTAGATTCGATCCAAATCTTATTACAGTTATCTAAACGAATTCAGATTTGGATACGGATTATAATAATCTAATTCGTTATTAATCCAATCCGAATAAAAAAATATATTATGTAAATAAATATCACACATATATTATAGAAAATTAAGTAACAATTGAGTGAATATCCCAATGCATGTTTACTTCAATTTTTCATTTTCTCTCTTTTTTTAGTTCATTATCCAAATTCTTATTATTAATTTTTTTGAGTATATGTGTTTTTGCGATAATCAGATCGGAATCAGATTTCTAGATCGGGTATGTAAAAATTAACGGATTCGAAAATAGATTGAAATTTTCAAATCCGTTGGATAATCGGATTGAATCAGCAAAAAACTTAATCGAATTCGAATAAAGGCCAAATCTAATTTATATCCGATTCGTTGACAGACTAATAATAAAATTTATCAATTTTTATTAATTTACTTATAATCGATTGAAAATATCAAGTATCAATAATAACATAATATAATCGCGGAATTGAATATTTACTCGTGCAAAATATCTACAAATTAAAGAGTTGCATATGGAAGTTTTATTTGTTGGACACATTTAAAATGGCTTGCCAAAAACTTCAACTAGCATTATCCCTGCAAAAGAGTCACATTTTTCTATACAAAGCCATACGTTTCCACCCCAGCCCCAATAGGATTAAGACAGACAGTGAATTTGAAACCATTTATACGTGAACTAGAATCATTCTTTTCCATCCAAAGCCATGGCTCCAACTTTGAAGAAACTGCTACCCTTCTTCCTCTTCTCCATCTTCTCCTTCTCACCTATCTCAAGCCACCACCATCCACTAGACCCTCTAACCCCACCGGAATTCAACATAATACGATCCATTGTTCTAAGCTCGTATGCTGGCTCAAATCACAACCTCACCTTCCAGTATGTGGGGTTAGATGAGCCAGACAAACAAGACATCCTCTCATGGTTGTCAAACCAAACCACCACCAATTACTCGCCTCGACGAGCCTTTGTTATCACTCGACTCAACAAGCAAACCCATGAAATCATCCTCGACTTGTCGACAAAATCGATAATATCTGATAAAATATACACTGGCCATGGCTACCCTGTACTAAACATGGAAGAACAAACAACTGCAAGTGAACTACCCCTAACATACCCTCCATTCATGGAGTCTATTAAAGCTAGAGGGCTCAACATCTCTGAGGTGGTCTGTTCTACCTACAGTGTTGGTTGGTTTGGAGAGAGAAAGAGCTCTAGGGTTTTGAAAATTCTATGTTATTATACAAATGGGACTGTGAATATATACGCAAGGCCATTGGAGGGAATAACAGTGGTGGTTGACCTGGATGAAATGAAGATCAAAGAATATCATGATAAGCTTAAAGTTCCAGTACCGAAAGCTGAAGATACTGAGTACCGATTGTCTGAGCAGAAGCCACCGTTCGGTCCACGTTTAAACGGCGCAACTATTCTGCAACCAAAAGGTCCAGGGTTTGTCATAGAGGGGCACACAATCAGGTCAGTATTTACCGTATAGAATTAATGTTAAATATGTAGAAATAATTGTCACTTATACTATATTCCAAGGTATAAAGAGTAATGAACCGAATATAAAATCAACTTTAATTAACTTGGCATGTATCTTGTACTCAAGTTTACAACGGTATGATTGTTAACTTGGACGAACATATTTTAATTACGACTATGTAAAGGGTAGAAATCGTTACGGATCTCATCCCTTCACTTGAAAGATTTCGGCTGACCTGACGGCACCGCCCCCCTGTCATATAAGTGAACACTTCCTATGGAGGAGGTACCCACTAGGCACCTGATCAGGTCGCTAGTGGGTACCTCCTCCATAGGAAGTGTTCACTTATATGGCAGGGGGGGGAGACGACTCTCTTCCGATGTGGGATTGCCTTAGGAAATGGTCCTATTGGCGAAAAGAGGTAAAGGCTACTGGGGCTCGGTGCCACCAGGTCAGCCGGAATCCTTCAAGTGGAGGGATGAGATCCGTAGCGATTTCTACCCCTTACAAAAAGGCACCTTTCTGTAAGGGGTAGAACCCTCTACTAAGGATTTCGACTTGACCTGGGTTAACCCACGCGGGCGACCCCCCAGTAGTCTTTACCTCTCTTCGCCAATAGGACCCTTTCCTAAGGCAATCCCACATCGGAAGAGAGTGGTCTCCCCCCCTGCCATATAAGTGAACACTTCCTATGGAGGAGGTACCCACTAGCGACCTGATCAGGTGCCTAGTGGGTACCTCCTCCATAGGAAGTGTTCATTTATATGGCAGAGGGGGAAGACGACTCTCTTCCGATGTGGGATTGTCTTAGGAAAGGGTCTTATTGGCGAAGAGAGGTAAAGGCTATTGGGGCTCGGTGCCGCCAGGTCAGCCGGAATCCTTCAAGTGGAGGGATGAGATCCGTAGCGATTTCTACCCCTTACAAAAAGGCGCCTTTCTGTAAGGGGTAGAACCTTCTACTAAGGATTTCGACTTGACCTGGGTTAACCCACGCGGGCGACCCCCCAGTAGCCTTTACCTCTCTTCGCCAATATGACTCTTTCCTAAGGCAATTCCACATCGGAAGAGAGTCGTCTTCCCCCCTACCATATAAGTGAACACTTCTTATGGAGGAGGTACCCACTAGCGACCTGATCAGGTGCCTAGTGGGTACCTCCTCCATAAGAATGAGATTGCCTTAGGAAAGGATCCTATTGGCGAAGAGAGGTAAAGGCTACTGGGGCTCGGTGCCGCCAAGTCAGCCGAAATCCTTCAAGTGGAGGGATGAGATCCGTAGCGATTTCTACCCCTTACAGACTACATAATTTATAACCCATCACTAAAGACCCTCAAGAAATGTGAAATTCATGTGTTAGAAGGGGTGATTGAGCTAAATTGGTCTAATGATGCTTTAAATACCAAGTTTTGATTATATTATTGGATTGTGTCAATATCGACTCAACGTCAAATAACACTACAATATACATCTTAAATTGCGTAAGATAGTTACGTGATACACAATCAATCTTGATTTGTATTTTGATAGAAAATAACAGGAATACTCCTGACTAATGGGTTTGGAAGAAAGGGTGTTTTCCTCCTTTGATCTAGTCTTGACCGAAAGCTTTTATTGACAATGTGGACACATGATAGAGAGGAGTGGTCCAACACGAAACATGAGCCTTACAATGGTTAGTCATTGGTAGGTTAGCACTACCAAAACATCTGGGACAGATTTCTCTCCTAGATATTTGACCATCTAAGTGATGGATGTGACGATATCAATATGGTATATGCATGGCTAAACTTTGTTCATCTGAGCTTGATGTGAAGTCTCAGTTTAATAATCCACATGGAATGTTAATGAAAAACTTGATAGATAAGATGGATTGACTTAATGAAAATTTGAAGGGACGAAAAAATAAGATGGATAGACTTTTCATCATTTGAGGAAAAAAAATATTTTCTCTTCTTTTTATTTGGTATGATGGATGAAAAGTGGGATGGATTAATTTTTCATAATTTGTTATTATAGAAGAAAACGAAAGGAAAGAAAATAAGTCTAGACTTAATTTACCATTATACCCTTAAATACAAAAAATAATTTTTTCATTATAAATAAAATTTTCAAGATTTAAAAATGTTCAATGTTGCTTTAATTAGTTAAATAAATAAATAAATATAAATATAAATATGTATATGTATACAAAAGATAATAGCCAAAAAATATAAATATGAAAATATATGTGTGATAGAATATTTAGAAGTGTTTAGGGTTTGAATTAGAATTGTGACATAATGATTAAAAGTATATTCAAGGGCAAAAAAATTAATTTGTCCAAAAAGTAGATAATCTTCAACGTTCCTACCACCACTGGAAGGGAAAAAAAATGGTGGGCCGCAGGAAAGCACTTTCCCTCAAATTATTTTTTTTCATCTAACCAACTTTTTATCAAACTAAACACACTATATGGGAGTTGCCTATTGTACCCAAAAAAAAATTAAAAAAATATGCACCGTATCGATATTCACCACTTTTATAGGTATTTTTTTATCATTATTGTGAGTATTTTTACTATTGTTGTAGTACTGAAAAAAAATAATAATAATAGTTACAACAAAAATGGTAAATTATATACAAAAATGATAATTTTTTTATACAAAAAAAAATGATAAAAATAGTTACCACAACAGTGGTAAAATACCCCTAAAAGGTGATAAATTTTCTTATTGGAAAATGACTCAAAAAATTATAAAAACACCCATTATAATAGTAAAATTTATCTTACCAATTTTTTTTTCCAGTAGCACAAACACACACATGTATACATGTTTTAAGATGTAATGCTTTAAGTGGACAAGAGTTTACTTGACAAAAAAAAAAAAGCAAAAAATAATTTCATTTTTCGTCTCAAATGTCTGTTTTGTGTTTTTTTTTTCCAAGTAATTTTTTGGTTAAACGAAACACTGCTTCCTTTCTTTTTTACTTTCTTTCTTTTCAACTTATAGGCAAGGGTGGCTCAAGGTAAATTGAGGCCTAAAGTGATAATACTAAATGAGATTTTTTTTTTAATACCTTTTTTAGAAAAAAATATTTTTAATTTTTTTTAAGTGAGAGAGGAGGATGTGATATTTTATTTTTGTTTTTTTAAGAGAGAGATAGAGAGAGATTTTATTTATTTATTTTTAATTTTTTGATTTTTGAGTTTCTAATACTATGGATTGAATTGTAGGCCTAAATTATTGAAATTATAATTTTTTGATTGGACTTAAATTTTTTGGGGCCTTTTTATAAGGCTTAAAATTTTTATGGATTAAATTTTTTATGTAGACTAGTTATGTATCTATAATTATGGGGCATTTTAAAATTTGGAGTCTAAAACTCATGCTTTTTTTTTTTAATACTATTGAGCCGGCCCAGCTTTTAGGGAGAAAAAAACTTAGAAAAGGTTAAATAGGAACTAAGATTTTCTTCCATATTGAGTTATTTGGCAATGCACAACTATCTACTATAAATTTCTTATCTAATTAAGAATAATGTTATTTGGAACAAAAAATTTGACTTAATTTATTGGCATAATGATATGGCTTCATAAGAATCATTAGATTAACACCAACTTTCAATGTTTGATGAGCTCTACAAGCAATCCAAATTTTACAATAAATTAGATCCGAATAACATTGCTCATCTAATTAAATGCTAGTTGTGTTGTAAATTTCAGAGATGTAACTAATGCAATCTTCAATCTTTCATGGTGAGTAGGTGGGCTAATTGGGCCTTCCATTTGGGCTTCGATGTTCGAGCCGGTCCAATTATATCTCTAGCGTCCATATATGATCTTGAGAAGCAAAAATTTCGTAGGGTGCTATATAGAGCATACATATCGGAGCTCTTCGTTCCATACATGGATCCAACCGAGGAGTGGTACTACAAAACATTCCTTGATTCTGGCGAATTCGGGTTTGGTCAATCGGCAGTGTCGCTCAAGCCCATGGAGGATTGCCCGGCCCATGCGGTTTTCATGGATGGTTACTATGCAGGAGGAGATGGAAAACCTATCAAGATATCAAATGTTTTTTGTATCTTTGAACAACATGCTGGAAATGTATTGTGGCGTCACACCGAATCTGCCATTCCCGGAGAAGTGGTAAATCATTTTCCGATGTGTTCGAGTTGGATATCATGATGAATACATGATTTGTGAAAGAATTATGTGTTTTTGTAGATAACGGAGGTTAGAGGAGAAGTTAGCCTGGTGGTGAGATCAGTTTCAACAGTAGGCAACTATGATTATATGATGGATTGGGAGTTCAAGCCCAGTGGATCAATCAAACTTGGGGTAAGCCATAGTTCCATGCACATATTAAAAGGTTGAACCGTGCCGAGTTGAGCACTCAACTGTTCTGGTTCAACTACTTGCACTAGCTTAGTATCGTGACTAGCATCAAATAATGCTCAAAATAAAGCTCGGGCTGCATGTGTGTGTGTGAATGAGTGAGCCTAAAGAGCTAAAATAAGTCATTGTTTGAGCTCGACTTAAAATTGAGCTCGAACTCGAATCTGACTTTACTAAGTTGTTATTGAGACAATTCCTCACTGTTCATAAACACCTCAGCCATTTGACCTGTAATCATATATGGTTATTGCTTGAGAGATTGACTAATGTCATTGAACTTGACATGAATGTTTCCCTTGCTCCAACAATTTTTGGTTTCAACAGGCAGGGCTCACTGGTATCTTGGAAGTAAAGGGAGTATCTTATACCCATGCAGATCAAATAAAGGAGGACGTCCATGGCACATTAGTGGCCGAAAACACCATAGGCGTATACCATGATCACTTCTTGTCATACCATCTTGACCTTGATGTGGATGGTGAAGCCAATTCCTTTGTTAAGACCAACCTGGAGACAAAAAGAGTGATCGACAACGCCTCTCCTAGGAGGAGTTACTGGACGACCATCAGTGAGACGGCAAAGACCGAGTCCGACGCTCGAATCTGGCTAGGGTTGAAACCAGCTGACCTAGTG